ATGGATGGATGGATGGATGGATGGATGGATGGATGGATGGATGGATGGATGGATGTTTACATGACTGTTACGTTTCATGGAAGGGTCCATTTTCACTCCCAGATTAGTGACTCTTTTTTGTTTCTCTAATGGGGCTAGAGAAGAAAGGTCGATGCAACCAGGCAGGAACTATACTCCCAAGCCTGATATTCTGTGTCTGCACCATTTGTCATCTCATCTCACTAAACGTAAGTTTTTGCTGCCCCGTCTGCACTTTCTTTTGTCAATGTGAAAAATAAAAATTGTTACTTTTACTTCCCGAGTCTGCTGCCTCTACCTGCACGTGGGTTCGACCATTAATCAGCAGAATATGTCAAGCATGTTAACAGGTGTAATACACCCTAGAACAGGCTCACGTTAAACCCAGATAGTTAATTACGCATCAAGACTAAACAACTAATGTTGTGTTTTAATTTACATTTCCTTCAGATTGTGATTAGTTATGCTTGTAAATTTGGAGATGTGTACTCTGTTATCTGGCAGGCTGGTCTCACAAAATACGTCTTAACACATCAGTATAGACATGATGAGGCCATCAACATTTAGTTTCAGCTTGTTAACAAAATATAGCCATAACATTTGGTTATAATTTTCAAAAATGCCCTTTGAAAAATCACCAAAATAAAAGTTTGAGCCTTTTAGGGTTTCAATTCTTCCTCCAAGGTAAAGGAGCAGAATATCAGGGGCTGTTTGTGCTTCTTAACCGTTAGGGCAGAGGCTTGTGGGGGAAAGGGTGGAGGCTTGTGGGGAAGTACTGATAAACAGAGAGTTCCTGTGGGGACCAGAGCTTAGAAAAGTCCCTGCTATACAGCATAAAAATAGAAAGAGAAAGCAAACATTTCAAGGATGTCAGATTGAAAGTGAAAGTAAAACAGTTATAAATACAATTTGTTCACTGAGTCTGCACCACAGATCAGACTGAGAAGGAACTCTTTCACTTTTGGCTTCAAGCAAACATCGAGAAAACATGAGTGAGTACTTACTGTGTGCTGTTATTGATTTGGCCATTTTGAAGTGAGGTTCAGTGGAAAACATGATCTTACTTTTTTCTACTCGCTCTCTGAACGACTTCATTTTAAGGAAATGAACAAACTTTCTTTTTAATGTGGTGGTTTAGTGTGCTTCATAGTGACTAAAATCATGGACTTTTTTCAGGTTTTGGAAACATTGCAAACGTTGATACTACAGGAGCTTCATGGCAAACAGCTCAACAGGACAAACTGAACACTTCAGGTAAACTGCAGCCAATCCAACAGTTTTATAAGGACTGAAGAAAGTTCATCATCAGCAGTGTTTCTCTGAATGAAACGCTCATATGTTCTGGAGCTATAACTTTGCTCACTGATTGTTTTAAATAGGTGTAAATGCATCGCACACAATGGCAAGAACAGATGTTGGTCGAATGGGGAGATACAGATCAATAATCAACAATGTAGGAAGAAAATATGGAGTTGATGCCAATCTTATTGCTGCCATCATCTCCAGAGAGTCCAGAGCAGGAAACACGCTGCAGGATGGTTGGGGGGACCATGGAAACGCCTGGGGACTAATGCAGGTTCTGTCAAATACGGCTTCATTCCATCTGTGTTAAACACAACGCTAACCCAGTTTCTCGTCTGTATCCATCAAAAGGTTGACGTTAATCCAAGAGGAGGTGGACACACTAAACGGGGGGCGTGGAACAGTGAGGAGCATCTCTGCCAGGCCACAGAGATCCTTCTTTATTTCATTGATCGGATCCAGAAGAAATTCCCTAACTGGAGCAGGGAGCAGCAGCTTAAAGGTTTGTTTTACTCAGCAACTATTACTTAAAAAAAAAACTTTCCTGACCTTTTTCTCCTGTGTTTTGTCTTTCTATAGGAGCAATCGCAGCCTATAACACGGGGGATGGAAGAGTCAGTTCATATGCGGATGTGGATGCTAAGACAACAGGCAAAGACTACTCCAACGACGTTGTTGCCAGGGCTCAGTGGTACCAACAAAATGGTTTCTGAATGCTGCAGATGGTCAAACAAAGAAAAATCATTATTAAAACGTATTTTGTGTCCAACTAAATAAAACCTTGACATTATTTTTGTTTATTTAACATAGGGGGACGTAACTGTTTGATTCCTTCTGATTTTGTAAGATGATCAACTATCAAATAAATAAAACATCAAATTGTTATGGTAGTTTCATTTTAATAGGGATGGAATATCAACTGAAAATCCCACAAATAACTGAAAGTTTCAAGCTGTTTTTTCAATTATTGAATATATTGGTCAGATTTAAATTAAATTAAAAGAAAGTACTCTTTGATTGCACTCATACAACTAATTGACTTTTGGAGCCCACTCAAGTCAAGATGGCCACCTTAGCTAACTGACCTTAGACAGACAGATCATATAAGATTAAGGAGACATGAGATTGCACATGATGTTTTAAAAGTTTGACCAAAACTGCTATAACTCTTAATATTTTTCTACGTAAGAGGATCTTTGGCTAAATTTATGGCAAATATGTAGTGGGCATAGGTCTTTATTTAAAAATGTTTAGAGTAAGGTCATGTGATTTCTGATAGTTTAACAAATACAAAAGCATTCCTAAAAGATTTCCCAGCTCTAACAAGTCTTTCATATTCTCTGAGTACAGGGAACTGAATGATACTGATTTTGTTTAAGACTTTCAGTAAAGCCTTGTTGGCATCAGGAGAATCTGTTTTTTGTTTGTCACATGATTTCTGTAGAAATACTTCCAGTTCCTCAACTTTCAGCTGTTGTCCCTCACAAAATAAATCCCGAGTTGAAATGAAACTTGTTTGTCCATTCATTGCCTCCTTTTAAATCAGAACAATATTTTGGGTGTTTTTACATGAAACAAAATACATAAAATACCATTGACATTTATTTTCATTCTTTATTAAATAAAAATCATGAAAATAAATGAAAGTTACAAAACAATAAAATAAAAATGGTCTCAGCTACTACCACACAAGATTTTGGGTCAATACCTAAATGTTATTTTTGTGCTTGCTGAGGTTGTTTGGCTGTGACAGCCACCTTAAACTAGGCTGACTCCAAATGTTTCTCAGATGTAGATGTACATCCAGTGAATTACATTCTGGGAGTTTCATAAAACCCATTCGCTGGTTCATAAGTTACACAGGTAAAAACATGGTCACATATTCTGCTAACATCATAGTACTTGGTGTCTCCTGCCTGACTTCATCTGTCAACCTGTCCATCATTGCTGCAAACACAAAGGGGCTCAGAACTGATCCCTGATGTAACCCCCCTCCCCATTGAACCCATCTGTCACTTCTACTGCACATCTCACCACTGTTTTGATGTACTTGTACATGTCCTGCATGACCCTCATACTTTTCCGCCACTCTAGAAAAACTACATGATACAGTGTCACTTTTTTCTTATCATGTATCATCTGCGTTTCACAGTCATCATGTAAGTCCTTTAAACTGTTTTTGCTCACTGATCTTGACCTCACTTCATAATCTAAATTTAACAAGACTTTTCAATTTCTTCATAGTATGGCTCATCAACTTTATCGCTCTGTAGCTACAACAGCTCTGCAGATTGTGCTTGTTCTTGGAAATTGGGCCACTACTGCCCACTATGCCCATTGGCATGAAGGGAAACAATGAAGGTCCTCCATTCCTGTCTGTTCTTGGTCAACTTCTGGATGGTACCCTAGGGTGCATTAAGGTTTTCATCTCTACCCCTACCTTTCATTGCCTGGTGTTTTCAGCCTGTCTCTCTTCCTCTTCCCTTCTGGTGTCCAATGTAAGGCTCTGCAGAGGATGTTACTATCATGTTTACAGTTATGATTGACTCCAAGTTAGCAGACTGAGAAGAAGACAGAGCCAGGCATACAACGGGTAAGTCATTTTATTTACAGATGCAGCAGCTTTGGGGCTGGAAGGGAAAAGGGGACAAGATGATTATCTTGAACAGCTTTGCAATTAGCAGCGATGGTCTGAGAAAAGAGTAGATTACGCTGGTGAAGATTCTCAGTCATCCAGGACATGGTTAATTGTTGAACTCTTTTTTTTTTAAAGTGGAGGTTTAGTGTGCTTCACAGTGCCTAAAATCCTGGACTAATAATTGTGAATTAGATTAACAAAGACATTAACAAACACTTTCTGTGAGATGTGACAGGTCAGTCTGCATATGTATGTGTGTATCTTACCTCAGCTTTATAACCTAAACCCCACTCTCATAGCTCTTTGAATTGAGAAAGCTTCTCGGATGCGAAGTGAAACGTCTTCTGTTAAAAATAAAATCCAGTTGTTTTTGTCTTGAACTTTTTTTAAACAGTAGATTAATCTTTCTTACTGTTGTTATAGATGTAGACAGGGAGGAGGAGACGAGATCCTGGGTTTCCGTGATCGAGATGAAGATCCAGAGAAGGTCAATATCAGAGTAGAGAGGAGCAGTTTGTACCAGTTTGTGTTATAGATATTTGGATGCTTGGTTGGTAGTTTGAAGGGAAAATATAATGGGCGGCTGTGGCTGAGTGGTTAGAGCAGTCGTCCTCCAATGCAAGAGTTGGGGGTTCGAATTCACCAGCAGTCACATGCCGAAGTATCCCTGGGCAAGACACTGAACCCCTCGTTGCCTCTGATGTGTCCCATCAGTGTTTGAATGTGATAAAGCTCTGATTAGTCTCTTTAGAATGATTTGTTCATTTAGCTTTGTAGAGATCTAGTAGAGTGCTGTATGAATGGGTAAACGAGGACACAGATTGTAGTGTAAAGCGCTTTGAGTATCTCGGTAACATAGAAAGGCGCTATATAAATACAGTCCATTCCATTCCAATATTGATCCACAGGTGAACCACGAGGAGCGAGGAGGTCTTTGAGAAGACTCGAATGAACAGAACTTGGAAGTCACTGAAGGAGATCACAAGAGGTTAGTAATGTACTGTTTGGAAACAGGTTAGAAAGCTATCATCAATTAGATAAAGCTGCAATGCCAGGAGAACATCTGGCATTGTAAGGGTCCCACTGCCTGCAGCCTGCCTTGCTGATGGCCGCTGATTACCAACACCTGGCGGCCATCAGCCTGATGAGCCTCTCCATCTACTTAAGGCTGCAGTCCGGTGTGACTCATCGCTGGAGCATATCACCTCTCATGGTATAGTAATGTTGAGCTAGAAATGTCTAGGTGAAAAGAATTTGTTCACCTGTGTTCTCTTTTCCAGTTTCCTGGTTCCTCGTGTTTTTGGATTCTCCTCGTGACCTGATTTGGATCCCTCGGCCTGTCAGGTATCCCTCGTGCCTCTTTGCCTCCGGTTGCCAGCCTTCCTCGTTTCCCTTGGACCTTCGTTGGATTCCCCTCTGCTGCTCTCTCCCTGGACTGAAGGACCAGCTCTCCTCCTTCGGGTTTGGACTGTAAGGACAAAAACGCTCTTCAAACAAACCACTCTGGTCTTCCCCTCTGGACAAACATTAACCTGTCGTCCCTCTTTCCAGGAGCCGCTGAGAAGCAGCGTGTGGACTTTATTTTTCACTGTACATAATAAACACTGTTCTTTTGTACTTCCCCTGTGTCTGCCTTGTTCTGGGTCTCATATCATCTGTGTTCCCCGCACACTCCTAACAGGCATGAGCTTTTATGCTCAGCAAAGCAGTCCTTCCCAATCAGCAGCAGGTGTGGAGTGTTGGTTGATTAATCATGGTTTGCAGCTGTGGAGAGAGTGAATATGGCAGAGAAACCCAGGAATCCTACAGTTACCAGGTTCTTTCCTCAGCTTATGCTCAATCCATCTCAACCTTTTCCTCTTGATGATGGTCTCCATGCTGTCTTAACAAGAGAGCAGTTGCTCATTTGAGATGATGATGGGCCAGAAGTCAAGGTCAAACTGCTGCCTTTTGCTTTTTTTAGCCACCGTTTTCCTCGACTTCACTCTCAATGTTGCCACAACCATATGGGGATGATTTCCAATGTCAGCTCCCCTCTTCACTCTGACATCTATGATTGTCTGCCACCAGGTACCACTGATCAAGAAATGATGTGATTTTTATCTCTTGCATTTTGAGAGTACTAGGTCAACTTGTGGATAACTTTGAGTGGACAGAGTGTCCCTGCAATGGCAATCTAGTAATTTGTGCAGAGTTCCAACATTTTGTCTCCATTCTCATTAATAATGCCACAACCCTTTCTTCCCATGGCGCTCTCGTTGGTGTTATCTCTGCCAACCTTTGCATTCATGTCTCCCATCTCAATTCTCCTGTTGTGTTTTGGTATCTTGTCCAATCCAATGGGAAATTTGTAACCGCACACTTATTTTTCATTCCTCAAGCTATTAGAATTCTGGTGTTTTTGGTGCTCTCTGTCTCCCATAAACTTCTCTCCAGGTGTTTTGAGTAGGCAGTGCTGGTTGTTTTCAGCTGTCTCCAATGATGGCTGATTACCTCCCTACATAGGGCTGAGTAAAATCAGGCTTCATCTTTGGTTGTCATGATAAAAATGGACAAGTTATTGAAGAATTGATGGAAATTTAAACAAAATCTTGTATGTCTTAATGATGAAAGGGAAACAAGAGTTAATGTAAAAACAGAAGCAGAGTCAACAATTGATCTGACATTTGTGTCAAACTCACTGGCTGGTGTTTGTGTATGGAACACGGATTAAAAACACAAAAAATGGTAGTGATCATCCATCCATCCATCCATCCATCCATTATCTTTACATGTTTCTTCCTTTTCTTTTCGTGGGGGTCACTGGTGTCCATGTCCAGCCATCACTATGAGAGAGGCGGGTACACCCTGAACGGGTCTCCAGTCCATCACAAGGTCACATAGAGAGAAACGAGACAAACAACTATTCACTCTCTCACTCACACCTAGGGACAATTTAGATTTACCAATCAGCCTAACATGCACGTTTTTGGTCTGTGGTCAGAAACCAGAGTACCTGGGTTATCCCATTAAAATCAGAGTAGGACATGATTTGACAATGGATGGAAGTAATATAAATGTGTGTGTTTGTAAAAT